TTTTTTGTTCATTCTTTACCCCCACAGTCTGGAATAGGGCAAGGCATCCAGTGATACTCAGTATAAATATTTGTCAAACGAATGAGCCCATGAATGAATGGCCCTACACTTAGGCATCCATACTAAAGACATATGATCACTTGCCTTGAGCCAATGAGTAGACAGTGCCTGACCAGGCAATGGAGCCTCTTGCCCCCTGGCCCAGCTTCTCTCCTAGTTTCCAGAACTCTGGCTTTTCAAATGATTACTAGCATAATCCGAATTCAACTGCTCCTCTGCCAACCAGCCTTTTCCTGTTCTTCAGCTTAAGGAATAGACCTTAGAACTCCTTCCAGCATGAAAAACCTTCCCAGCTCTCAACTAAGCCAAATGGACTCAATCTTTTGGCGGCTGAGTAGACTAAAACATGTAATTTGGTTCTTCTTTGTGTGAGCGAAGCAGTCCTTTTGGAAAATAGACAAAATACCTGGCTCTCAGTTGTTGAGCCAACAGGTTGAATTTTCTCTGAAGGACATTCTGACTTGTTAAGAATGGACAAATACTTCAGAAATCAAAAGCCTGTTACTTGTCTCATCCGTTTCGGAGGCCCACCAAAGAGGGAACTCGCCCCCTTCCCCAAACCAGGGGAAGCAGAGGCTTTCATAAGACACAATGCTGCGATAATGCTGAAGGAAGCTGTGCAGGTTTGCTTTCTATCCTATTGTCTTATCCTGTCAGCTCCCTCATCTCCCAGAACCCAGGCTCAATAATTTACAACGGAAAGACGTTTAATAAATGGCCAGATTGGAGCTGTCAGCTCTGCACAATGGGGCTGTTTGCATCTTTCGCTCGGCTTCAGCACCCGCTCTCCCAGCTTGCTTCGGCTAAAACAATCCCATTTGCTATTTTCATAAAATTAGTTCCTCTGCAGTTTCTGTTAATCAGAACATTCTTTGGAGAGAATTATACTGGGATTTCATCACCATCGGAGTTCAACCGCTATGTGAATCTGATGAATTTTTATCACCTCTATGACTGGCAGAGAAGGTAAAAAACTTGGGTGGGCTGCGTTAAGTGGGCAGAGAGTTCTTCCCTCATATCAGCTGAGGTCTCAGAGACCTGAGAACCCAAATCAGTCTCCCCTGCCACATATCTGAGCAGTTTTCTCCCACAGACACATCTCTTTTTTATATACCTATAATTCTGAATCTTCTTGGGGTCATGGACTCTTAAAAATCTGAAGAAAGCTATGGATACTCTCCTCAGAAAAGCCTACATATGCACACACCCACTAAGCCTTACCATTCAAGGCGGTCTGTGGACACTCTCCCTCCCTTCTCTGCACATATGGCCCATCCATGGACTCCAGAGTAGTAACTGTGCATCCTATGGCTTCCTAATCATCCTCATCTCCCTGAAGAAACTTAGACTGGAATAGAGACTCAGTCACCTCTGAATTCCTTTGTTGAAGGAGGAAAAGAGATTTTTTTAAAAGAGAAAAAGAATGTAGAAGGAGAAAGTTTTCATCATGGTCATATACCTTTGAGAAATGAGAAAAAAAAAAAAAAGGAAAAACAGAAGACAACTCATATTGGCTGAAATAATGCAAGTCCAAGGATCCATCAACTGATTATTGTGCACTGTATTTGTCAGGGGATCAGAATTAGGAAAGATCTGATGAATTCTCCTTGCCTCCAGATTATACAACACCTATCCCATCCTAAGTAAGATAAGCTCTATATGAGAAAAGACACAGCATGGATGAAGGAAACCTTGGACCAGAGGAACCAGGATTCTAATACCAGCTCTGTCCACAGACTATGTGGTTTTAGGCAAGAAATAATTTATCTCTATCAATGTTAGTTTTTGTTTTGTTTTTTATTGACATGATTTCCAAAGTCTGTTTTGGTTCCAACATTCCATGGGACCTGATTCATTAGAGACCTCTTTAAAAAAAAAAAAAGTTTTTATTTATTTATTTGAGAGCGATAGATCATGAGCAGGGGCAGAGGGAGGGGGGAAGCAAACTCTCCACTGAGCAGGGAGCCTGATATGGGGGCTCCATCCCAGGACCCTGGGATCATGACCTGAGCCGAAGGCAGATGCTTAGCTGACTGAGCCACCCAGGTGCCCATCATTAGAGACTTCTAAGATAGTAAGGCTCAAAGCTTTTTCTTAATGGCCCAGCAGTAAATATTTCAGGCTTAGGGGCCATATAGTCTCTGTATTAACTACTCAGCTCTGATGTTGTAAAGTGAAAGCAGCCATAGACAAACTGCTCGCACACCTGTGTTCCAGCAAAACTTTATTTATACTGAGACTTGAGTTTCCTATAGTTTTCACAGTTTTCTTCTTTTGTTTTTTCCCCAACCATTTAAAAATGTAAAATTCATTCTTAGCTTGCCGGTCATACAAAAAATAGATGGCAGGCCAGAAGAGGCTCCCAGACTGTAGTTTGCTGACCCCTGGTCTACAGCATCAGGTAAATATTATGACCTGGAACATCATGGTGGTAATTCTGAATGATCTTAGAAAGCCAGTAACTTGGGTTCAACAAGTGACAATTGTACTGGGTGAAATTTTTGTTTACCCAGTTTCCCAATTAGCAGAATAGAACAATGGTAGCTTTTTAGTCTCAGTTAATAACCAACAATCACTTAAGTGTTGGGTATATTTTCAGACCTACAGAAATGGTCAAATAATCACACAAGAGAAAATTTATATAAAAAAAATTTAGGACTCTCTGGCAGAGAAAGTTTTTACTATAAAATAAACATGAAAATTTTATGCCTTCTCCTGAAATCACTCCTTACTCCTTGCCATAGTCTTTTTGCTACCCTACCTCTCTATCAGACAGCATAACAAATGATTTTACACATTAAAGAAAGAGGCAACTGGGCACTGGTTTGTACTGTTATTGCTTGAAGTTTTTGGTTTGTTTAGGAGAAAATAAAATTGTAATTAAACAAATGATATGCATACATATATGGTGCCTAAGTACATTCTACAAGTACAATATTAGCTGTACGTATACAGCAGAGATTTGGAGGAACGTGGAGAGGCACTATATAACACTTGACAGAGGAGACAATTTTTAAAAGGAGAAAGATTGGATAGTCAAGTAATCAGTCTTCTCTAGAGTGAACTTTGATTGAGAGATGGCAAAAGATGGAGCGCTATGGTGATAGCACTTCTCTCAATTTCAATGAGAGGGTAGAATATCATTATTTAATCAGAAAACTAATACCTCCTCCCAGTTAAGGGATGAGATAGAGGTGGGGCTAGCGGGGAGGGTCCCTTGATGTGAGAGGAAACCTAAAATGTTATATCCATTCGGGAAGATGTAAGAGGTCTGAAGTGCCTTCTCGGTTATACCTTATTCTTAATTTATAATTTAACTAAAGTCAGCTTGATCATTTGAAGTATAAGAAGGTTAACTTTTCCAATCTCGAACTTTGGAATACTTTCTCCCCCAAACATTAAGAACTCAGAACTGACCAGTTGGTCTAAACAGTGTTATTTTCCATTATTTGTCTCCACTCTGGCTTAGACCAGTCTCCACATTATTCCCCAGATACTCAGTGCTCATTCTTGTCTCAATCTCTTCGTTCAAACTATTTTTTTCCCTGGATTCCCTTCCATCTCTGTTCCACCTTTTCCATTCCTACCCATATTCCAGGGCTCAGCATTCATGCTAGCTATACCACGAAGACCCCCAATTAACTCCAGCCAAAACACTATTTCCCCCAAAGAATATGAGTGAAGAAGTGCTCTTAAACCTACAAAATGCTCTGCAAATATGAAGTATTATTATTATTATGGGGGCAATTAAGTTTGGCTCACGTTATATCTTGCCTTAAAGTGTTTCCTAATTGTTTCATATGCTGTTGGCAGTAACAAACCACAGCTTATTAAGGAGGGCAGGAATCACACGGTATTTTTTGTATCCTCATAGTCCCTACCAGTGCTTAGCTACAGTTAACACTCAATTCCAATGAAATGAATTAATCAAACTAATGGCTTTCTTAACCTCAGAGCTCCGCATTGGGCCAAGTGGTTCATTTGTTAAACACCTAAAAAATAGTGGTTAGGACATATGACTACAAATGAAACCTTGAAAGTAAATTTGAGACTTACATTCAATGGAATTCAACCATCTTCTTCCATTTTACTCATAAAGCTATGATGCAGGAGCTGAATTCCTTACATCAGAGCTTCAATGTTCCAGGACTGAAGAGATTGCTTCATGATGTTTCAGAATGATGTCTAAGGTCAAAAGTTCAAGTACTGCAGTTCTCAAATTTGGTATTGTTTGTTTTGAGTGTTGCCTGTTTTCCCTTCCTGATTCAGCCGTGGAGCATGAGTCCTCCGTCCTGTTTCCACTGGTTGGCCTGATTTATGGATGTTTTGGTCTAACGGGCCATACATAGCTTTGGAACAAAATCACGGCGAGTTTTAGTTTGCAGTTAGGTAAGAGCAGTCTGCTAAAGCATGGACCAGTTCCAGCTGCCTGGAGGCGCGGCTACAGATTTACTCGATTGACCCTGGCCTCGCTTCCTCAGTCTGTCCCATGAGAAGAATGATCCTTGCCATAGTCTACTTCCTAAGGCTAACACAAGAACAACTCCAAATAAAGTACGGCGAGGTAAGGATAAATGAAAATATGATGCTGGTACATACAACTTGTGCTTCGGACTCGGTTCCGTCCGGGGAGGGGAGGTTTTAGGGACCCTTAATGACAGGGCCTGACCCCAGCTCTCCGAGGCCTAATCTGACTTGCCCCCAGAGTCCCGCCGCCCACCCAAACCAGTGGGTCGGGGACTGAGACGTCTATCAAACTCCGAAACAGAGATTAACGTCTAGACTGCTGTACAAATCTCCGGACTTCGAGACGAGGGGAAGGGGTTGCCTTCCTCCGCTTCACAACCTGGCTGTACGGTCTCCATAGTAACAGCGAGGGAGGCCGGGAGAGCAGCTCTCTCCCGCCTAACAACCCGCCCCCACGCTAGACTGACCAATGGTTCTGGGGGTTACCTAAGAGATGGTGTGATTGACAACGAGGTGGGGCGGGAGGCGGAGCCCGGACTGCCTCGATCCAATCGAACTTGAGGCCGGTCTCGGGACCAGTAGCACCGACCAATCGGAGGGCGTAACGAAGTGCGACGTGCCCACCCACCACGCCTGGCGTTGCCTGGAGGCGCTGCGGACGTAAGCAAATGAGAAAGAAGCTGGGTGTTGAAAGAGCAGCGCTGATTAGCGAATATGGAATCGCCTGGATGAAAGCCCACTTGTGATTCGTCGTAAGTAAACCGAAGCCTCTGTGGGCTGGAACGGGCCGGACGGTGAGATGTGAGTAGGGGACCTGGGAGAGGGAGAGCCAGGTGAGGGGGAGGCGAGGAAAGCGGGGGGCGGCTGCGAAGGGAGAATGGCCGAGGCTGGGGCTGAGGCTGGAAGACCGCGTGGGCGGCTGGCTGTGCGCGGACTCTCGCATCACCCTTACCGCCGATCTGGACCCAAGGCCCGGCGGCCAATAAATACTTAATTGGGGCTGAGAAAGAGGGGATGCTTTCTTTGTCGTGCTCCTAAGAAAGGGAAATGTCAGTGTCTGGTTCAAATACCTTATGACCGAGACCTTAATCTCTCCAACTACTGGGAGGTCGCCTGACGAACAGTCTGAAGTTGAGACCTGGGGCGACGTTTTCCTGCGGCCGGTTTGAACGAGCCGCAGGGCTTGGGAGAGACGCTAGAGCCCTAGTTCCTGGGGTGTTGACTCCAGCGCGTGCTGCTGCTGTCCGGAGAGCCCTGGCGAGATAGCTTACAGACGGTCCACACACCGCCCAGGAAAAAGGGTGGAAGGACGTGTCTGGATCCCCTGATCCCCCCCCCCTTTTCTCTCATTGAGTTAAGAGATAATGCCACATCGATGGCATTTAGGTAGCTCCGCGGTTTATTTTTCCCAGGCTTGCATTTTACTTAATTACAGAGGTAGAAGCATTATCCTGATACATTAAAATTCAAACCGTAGTGAAATGTTTACTGTAGAAAAATAAATGTGTGACCCCCGCCCCCCCCCCATTATATTTGAAGGTTTGGAACGGTTATAAAGGAAAGTGGAAAGGAATCCTGAAGAAGGGCCATTCATTCCTGTAATCGCTGTTTTCTGCTGCCTTCAAGGCCTTTGACTCTGAAACTGTAGGAATGGGTGAGATATCTAGCTCCCACCAGCAGCAGCGCTAGGGCCAACTTACGCTCCATGGAATCCACATTTGTACTGGACTGTAAGACATCCTGTAATGGCCATTAGTATTCTCACACATGATCGACAGTCATGGCGAGCAGTATATTTTTCAGCTATTAGGCTGTATGTGCAGGAGTCAGGCACCTTAATGTATGCCTCTCTCTCTGTTTTCTCTGAGAGCTGTGAGAAAGGGTATGTAGAACCAACAGTAAATGAATGAGCAGTGCACTCACTATACAGACCTCTAAAAGTTTTGGACAATCTCTTTCCACAGAAAGACCTCACAGCAGGAGCACAGAGGGGGAAGATTGGCCCTGGAGTTGCTCTGGTTGTCAGCTACTAAACAGGGTGTTCAAATTGAGACATTATTTTTTTCTGACTCCAGTCTACCTGCTTTAAATGCCAGAGAGTTAAGTAAATGGACTTACTCAGGAAATCAGGTTGGCTAAACCATCTGTTCTCAAAGAAGGTTTGAAAAAGTCCTGGACATGAATCCAAAGCACCACTGTTTTAATTTTTTAATCATATTTACTCAGTAATTTGCTATTACAGTATGGGAAATAATCACAAGTATTATTCCCACACAGAATTAACAAGATAAAATGACCAGATGTTCACTTCTTTTCCACAGCAGCACTCTATACTATATCCAGGCTTTCCTTTCCATGCTTAACCAGAAAATGTACACAGTTTGGTTATAAAGTGATGAACTGTATTCTTATAAGAGCTTGGGGGTATTTATCTCATTACTTTAAAGCCATGCCATATACGGACTCCCAGTGTCTCATGAACCTTTATTATTCCATAGGGGATTGAAAGGCCATGTTTCTAACGGTACCACCTTCAACCACCACTTGCCCTGTATTCTAGGCATTAGAGTTGGTCCAAGTTTTACAGGTTATTTTTATAATTTATCCAAAACAGCAATTAAACTTAACTAGTTATCTTGCTAGGGTAGTACTATCAGCTCAGTCAACCAAGCAGGAAACCCGAGTCATCTCTAACACCTTTTCCCTTTTCTCCTTTGCATTTCCACAGCTAAGACAGGAGTCCAGACCCTCATCATCCCTTATCCAGAGTCCCCTACTGGTCACCAGTCTGGTCTCTGATCTCGACTCATAGGCACTGAGCCACCAGCTACCTCTTTAAAAATTAAGAATTCTCTCAGGAATTTCATAAATAGAGAATATTACACTGGGTAGTATAACAGATACCTATGCTCTACTAACTAGATTAACAAACTAACATTTTGGCACATCTGCTTACGTTTTTTCTTTTAAGTAAATAAAACATCACATTTAATTGAGATCCCTTTTGTTCTCTTTTCTGGCCCCATTTGCCTTCCTTCTTCTCTCCCAAGAGGCAAACACTCTTTTGAAATGGTGCATCATTCATGCCCATGTATTTATATTTGTACAGTATATATGTACTTCATAAACAATATATTACTTTTTTTAAGATTTACTTATTTGAGAGAGAGCACGTGTGAGAGAGTGCAGGACAGGGAGTGGGGCAGAGGAAGAGGGAGAGAGAAGCTTAAGCAGACTCCACGCTGAGCGAGAGCCCTACGCAGAGCTCTATCTCATGACCCTGAGATCGTGACCTGAGCTGAAACCAAGAATCAAATGCTTACTTTGCACCACTGAGTGGCACAGTTGGTTACTTTTACTACTTCTTAAATTTTGAAAATAGTAGTATCATACTGTGGGCTTCATTTGGTAATTTGCTTTTATCACTCAACATTGTTTTCGAGATAACATTCATATCAATACAGATAGTCAAGTTCATTCTAAGTGTTCATTATGAGTATATAATATTGTATCCATTCCCTTATTGGTGGACACTTAGGTTTTTTCAGATGTTTTGCTATTTCGAAAAAAAACTGCAATGAACATCCTTGTACACATCTCTTTATGCAAGAGTTTTTCTAGAGCACTGGTTCTCCAAGGGGATGGTACCGCCCTATTGGTCATTTTGGGATTTGTGAGAGCACATTTGGTTATTATTGTGATTTGGAGGCACTACCGGGGTTTACGGAGCAGGGCTGGGGATGCTAGATATTCTGCAGTGAAGAGTTGTCCTGCATCCTGTACCATTTTCGAGTGTCCCACAGGATACTCATTTCTAATCTCAGCCTAGAACCTAACTCCATTTTTCATATAAACATAATGTCTCTTTTGGCACAGTTTGACATAGTAAAATTTCCAGGAATGCAATGCAAATGTAAATGAAGGGGAAATTATACTTACTTGTGTTTTGGAACTTTAACAAGAGTTGTTCATCACTTGAGAAAATCACATAGCTGAAGGCAGCCCAGCTCGTGGTATTTGAGTTACCATACAGCACACCTGCATGAGCCCACGTTTGTAGCTTTTGCGCTCATGGTGATTCTAAGTTTAGGCGCAAGCATCTGACTGCTGTACTTCATTATGTATTCTAGTGTAGTCAGCCTGAACATTTGTATATTTAAACATATGCTGTTTTATTATGAATTACTTTCCATTTAAAATTGGCTTGTATATGACATAAAGTAGAGGTCGAGTATTACCTTTTTCTGATTGGATGATCGTTTGTCCCAACACCATCGATGAAATCCTTTACCTGCTGAATCAGAACCAACTCTGTCCTGTACCAAGTTCTTATAAGTGCAGGGATCTGTTTCTGGGCTCTCTGTTTTATTCCACTGATCCATGTGTCTTTATGCCATATCACACTGTTTTAATTACCTTGGTTTTATAATGTGTCTTACGGCAGTTGGTAACAAGAAAGGCAAGTCTCCATCCTAGTTCTCAAAATTGTTTTCACTATTCTTGGGCTTTTGCTCTTACATATGAATTTAGGATACGTTTTCAAGTTCCATGAGCTCCACAAAAATTTGAGATTTTGGTTAGAATTGCATTGAATTGATACTGAGATCTTTTAATATTGAACCATCCCATCCAGGAATGTCGGTTATTTTTCTACTCAGGTCTGTTTTGTTATTCTTTTCAGGCCTTTTAAAAAAAAATACCTTTGGGGGCGCCTGGGTGGCTCAGTCGGTTGAGCGTCCGACTCTTGATTTTGGCTCAGGTCATGATCTCAGGGTCATGAGATCGAGCCCTGTCTTGAGCTCCTCACTCAGCACAGAGTCTCTTTGTCCCTCTCCCCACCCCCACCACAAGTTCTCTAATAGACAGACAGATAGATAGATAGATAGATAGATAAATAAATAAAATATTTTTAAAAATACCTTTGAATAAAGTTTAACAATTTTTGCTGTAAAAATCTTACACACCTTTCACATACTTATTGGCCATTCATATACCCACTTCTAAGTTTCTGAGAGAGGTATATTAAAATCTCCACTAAATTTGTGGGTTTGTCCATTTATTGCAGTGATTCCTTTTGACTTGTATATTTTAAAGGTTTGTCTTGGGTTCATTTTTGTCCTGAGTTGTATTTTTTTGTTAAGTTTTTCTTTTTGTGAATATAACTCTTTTTTTTTTTTTTTTTTTGGCTGGGTACAGTATACTTTATTGATGGTACATGACAAGGTAGGGGTCCCCAAGCCCCTCCCCTTCTTCAGGGGGTCTGGGATGGAAACGGAGGAGGTCGGGAGATTCTCAGTGTTTGGGGGGTAAGTTGGGGCAGGGACTCCCCAGCAGCTGAGGGCCTCTCTCTTCCTCTTGCTCTCGCTGGGGCTGGTGGTCCAGGGGGCTCTTACTCCTTGGAGGCCATGTGGACCATAAGGTCCACCACCCGGTTGCTGTAGCCGAATTCATTGTCATACCAGGACATGAGCTTGACAAAGTGGTCGTTGAGAGCAATGCCAGCCCCGGCATCGAACGTGGAGGAGTGGGTGTCGCTGTTAAAGTCGCAGGAGACAACCTGGTCCTCAGTGTACCCCAGGATGCCCTTGAGGGGGCCTTCTGATGCCTGCTTCACCACCTTCTTGATGTCGTCGTATTTGGCAGCTTTCTCCAGGCGGCAGGTCAGATCCACGACGGACACATTGGGGGTGGGGACACGGAAGGCCATGCCAGTGAGCTTCCCATTCAGCTCAGGGATGATCTTGCCCACAGCCTTGGCAGCGCCAGTGGAAGCAGGGATGATGTTCTGGGCAGCCCCTCGGCCGTCGCGCCACAGCTTCCCAGAGGGGCCATCCACGGTCTTCTGGGTGGCAGTAATGGCGTGGACGGTGGTCATGAGTCCCTCCACGATGCCAAAGTTGTCATGGATGACCTTGGCCAGAGGGGCCAAGCAGTTGGTGGTGCAGGAGGCATTGCTGACAATCTTGAGAGAGTTGTCATACTTCTTATGGTTCACACCCATCACGAACATGGGGGCATCGGCAGAGGGAGCAGAGATGATGACCCTCTTGGCCCCGCCCTTCAAGTGAGCCCCAGCTTTCTCCATGGTGGTGAAGACCCCAGTGGACTCCACAACATACTCAGCACCAGCATCACCCCATTTGATGTTGGTGGGATCTCGCTCCTGGAAGATGGAGATGGACTTTCCATTGATGACAAGCTTCCTGTTCTCAGCCTTGACTGTGCAGTGGAATTTACCATGGGTGGAATCATACTGGAACATGTAGACCATGTAGTTGAGGTCAATGAAGGGGTCACTGATGGCGACAATATCCACTTTGCCAGAGTTAAAAGCAGCCCTGGTGACCAGGCGCCCAATACAGCCAAATCCGTTCACTCCGACCTTCACCATCGTGTCTCGGGGACGCGGCTGGCACTGCACCAGAAGATGCGGCTACCTGTCGAACGGGGAGGAGCAGAGAGCCTGAATATAACTCTTAATACCTTTCAAAGCTTTCCATTCTATTTTGTTTGATACTAATATTGCTTCACCAGATTTTATTTTGTTTGGTTTAGGTGTTTTTTTTAATTGGGGTTTAAAAAAAAAAAAAAACCCCACACACCTAAAATTTACCATCTTAACCATGTTTAAGTGTTTGGTTAAGTATTCTTAGGATATTCACATTGTTGTGCAAGGGATCTTGAAGCATAATCTGTGTGTGTTTACTATGATTACTGTTATATTTGGATTTATTTTACAATCTTATTTTGTATTTTCTGTTTTCCTTGCTTTTTGTTTCTTTCCCCTCCTGCCTTCTGCCTTCTTCCTTTATTTTTTTCACTCTATTAGTGTGAAGGTTACTTACCCTGTTTCTTTTCTTTTTTTTTTTTTTTTAAAGATTTTATTTATTTGAGAGAGAGAGAGAGAGCACATGAGAGGGGGGTAGGGTCAGAGGGAGAAGCAGACTCCCTGCTGAGCAGGAAGCCCGATGCAGGACTCGATCCTGGGACTCCAGGATCATGACCTGAGCCGAAGGCAGTCGCTTAACCAACTAAGCCACCCAGGCGCTCTACCCTGTTTCTTTTATTTGGTGTTTACCTGTGTGTTTTTAACATGCAGATTTAGCTTAACAAAGCCTACAGGTAATCATTAACTTTCATCTCCTCCAGTGCAAAGTAATAACCAATGATTTCACTTGGAACTGTTCTTTCTCATCTTCCATGTAACTGTTAACAAATACTTTAGCTCTTCTTTGTTTTTATTTTTTTATTATTGAAGTGTAATTGACATACAGTGTTATATTAGTTTCAGGTGTACATCATATTGAATCTCCGTGACTTACTGATTTTATAACTGGAAGTTTGTACCTTTTAATCCCCTTCATCTATTTCACCTGTACTCCTCATACCTTCCTCTAAGGCAACCACCAATTTGTTCTCTGTATTTAAGAGTCTGGCCTTTTGTTTGTTCACTTGTTTTGTTTCTGAAATTGCACATATGGTGAAATCATATGGTATTTGTCTTTCTCTGACTGACTTATTTCACTTAGCATAATACTCTCTAGGTCCATCCATGTTGTCGCAAATGGCAAGATTTCATTCTTTTTTATGGCTGAGTAATATTCCACGTGTGTATATATGTGTGTGCCAGCCAGATCTTTATCCATTCTTCTATCCATGGACACTTAGGTTGCTTCCATATCTTGGCTAGTGTAAATAATGCTTCAGTAAACATAGGGCTGCTCAAATTAGTGTTTCCATTTTCTTTGGGTAAATTTCCAGTAGTGGAATTATTGAATCATAGGGTATTTCTATTTTTAATTTTTTGAGGAACCTCCATACTGTTTTCCAAGTGGTTGTACCAATTTACGTTCCACCAGTAGTATATGAGGGTTCCTTTTTCTCCACATCCTCACTAACCCTTGTTATTTCTTGTTTTTTTTTTTCCTGTCTAGCCATTCTGACTAGTGTGATGTAATATATCATTGTGGTTTTGATTTGCATTTCCCTGATGATGAGTGATGTTGAGCATCTTTTCCTGTGTCTCTTGGCCATCTGGATGTCTTTGGAAAAATGTTTATTCAGGTCATCTACCCATTTTTTCATTAGATTGTTTTTTGGTGTTGAATTATAGAAGTTCTTTATGTATTTTAGGTATTAACCCCTTATGGGATATATCATTTGCAAATATCTTTTCCCATTCACTAGGTTGCCTGTATGTTTTATTGATAGTTTCCTTTGTTCAAAAGCTTTTTATTTCGGTGTAATCCTCATAGTTTATTTTTGCTTTTGGTTCCCTTGCCTGAGGAGACATATCCATAAATGTGTTGCTGTTGTTCTTCCTTGTTTTTAACTCCTCAAACAATTAGGCCTTCTTATCATTTCAGAAATCTTTACTATCAATATTACCCAGTATTTTTCTTACCATTCCTCTTTACATCTCATGCCTTCTTTCTTGGTTCATTTTCATTCTTGCTCAAGTACAGCAGTGACAGGTGAACTCCATTTCAGTCTTTGTGTAAAAATATTTTTATTTTGTACCCAACTTGGTGAGAGCCTTGCATGCTGACTTGTGTGGCATCCCTACAGAGAGGTTTCAGTTGTCTCTGCCGGGATCCTACAAGTTTCTCACTTTTAGACTGGTTTTATGTGAATCTTACTTCTCGAGATTCCCATACCACTTTGGTAGTATGATTTGAACCCCACACTTGCATGTGGTGTCGGATTGGGATTCAGATTTCTCTTGGGTTAGTCTTTTTTCACTCATGGCCTGAGGTACTTGGCCAACTTTGTTCCAACAAAGTCAGCAGCAAATGTTTTAGTCCCTATTTCAAAGACAGGTGGGCCCTTTCTGGGCTAATCTTTATGCCTTGTTCTCAGTTCTGGTTCTCTGTATCATGGGTCTGAGACCTCATCTGTCCAGGAGGGACCACTCCAAAGGTCTGCAGCTGGTTTCAGTACCCCTATAGACCTTTGGGCTCAGCTCCTGCTTACCACTCAGATTTTGAATTATGCTTTCATTTATGGTACTTAAGGATTTTCCTTTATTGCTTCCGAGCTCCGCTGTGTATTGAATTCTTTTTGCTCGCTTTTACTAAGCATTTCTATGTGTTCACTATCATAACATTCATTACATGTGAGGTACTTCCCTTGTTAGGTCTGTCCAGCATATTGACCAGAAGTTACAGTCCTCTTTCTAAAGCTAAATATGATCCTATCAGCCCTTCACTTGATTTCTATGGACTTGTTAGCACTGCTTCATTTATTCATCAAATGAATATTTCTTGCTTATAATGTCTGTGCTAACAACTGGGGATACCGTGGTGAGCAAGATATAAAAATCTCTGCCCTCATAGAGTTTGCTATACTGGTTGGAGACATAGAAGGTAAACCTGTAAATAGTAAGTAAAAATGTGAACTATAGTTTGTGAAATGTACCCTGAAGGAAATAAGGAGTGAGGGAGAGTAATTGGGGTTACGTTAGCCAGAGCCATCAGGGAAGACCTTTCTGAGGAGGTCACATTTAAAGCTGAGATCAGACAGATGAGGAGAAGCCAGCCCTGCAAATAGTGGAAGGTTCACTGGGGGATGTGGGTTAATTCCAGGCAGTGGAAACAGCAAGTACAAGGACCCAGAGGTAGGGAAACACTTGGCAGTTTAGAGTTACTGAGGTGATACTGTGCGCTCTAAATTGGGGGGAGGGGATGCGCCCCTGTTAGGTTAGAGAGGCAAGTGAGAGCCCAGCCCATCTGCTGCCACTCCTCTCTTGGCCCACCCCTCCCCCTGCCTGTCATCTTGCCACACTGATTCTTTCCCATCTGGGCCTGTGGGAAGTCATCTCCTCGGTGAAGCCCTTCTCCCTTTGCACTACCTCAGGTCCCACTTTGTCCCACTTTGTACTTTGCTTATCAGAGTGTGGCGTGGATAGTTGTTTACGTGACAGTGTTCTCCAGTGGGCCTGCAGCTTCTGTCAGAAGATATGTCTTATTTACCCTTGTGATCCCCAGACTGTGGCACAGAATAGTTTTTGATTGGATAAATGTTTGTTTGTTTGTTTGTTTGTTTGGCAGTTTATGCCCAGGGCGTCCTTTCCAATCTTTCCAATGCCTTTATAACAGAACTTGTCATAGATAATAATTTTTGTGGTATTTAAACCATCAGGGTAAAGAAAACCATCGAGGAGGAATTTATTTGCTTAAGATTTGTCTCTGATACTAAAGGGGAAAACCGGGGGGGGGGTGCTCTAGACTCAGTGGGGTGGGTCAAATGGTGGCCCCCAAAAAGACTGTGCCCACATCGTAATCCCTGGAACCCGTGAATGTGACCTTATGTGGAAGAAGGGTCTTTGCAGACATAATTAAAGATCTTGAGAAGACATCAGACCAAATTCTTTGGGTGGACCCTAAATCCACTACAAGTGTCCTCATAAGAGACAGAGGAGGAAGACAATGCTGGGCCCTCCAGACACTAGAAGAGCCTGGAAGCATTCTCTCCTAGAGCCTTTGGAGGAAGCTCGGCCTGGCTGGCACCTTGATTTCAGATTTCTGGCCTCCAGAACTGTGAGAGAATGCTGTTCTACTGTAAGCCACCGGTTTGTTAATACATAGCCCTTCGCATTACACCTCAGTTATGTCTTCTGTGACACGGCTGTAATAAGACCTACCTCAGAGGCCTGTTGCCATGATTAAATGAAACGTGTTTGTAAGGTACTTAGCACACCGTGAAAGCTCAAATAGAGTGGTGGCTCCTTTCTTCTTCATCGTCCTCATCTTCTGCAAGGACTTAGGAGTTTGCTTCCTTTCGTGAAGAAAAACTCAACAATAGAGGGGGATATTTCTGTCTTGTGATCATCTGGGGAGTCAAAGCTCACACCACAGACTTACCCTGAGAGCCTCAGTGTCCCCATGGGCTCCATAGCGCTTGGCTCCTCGTGCCTTCACAGCCCTCCATTAGCATTTCTGTCAGGAGAGAGTTCAGCTTGCTGCTGCAGGTCGGGAAAGCCAAACTAGAACTCAGCAGATTTGAAGTGATCCACACAGAGCAGAAAGCAACCTCTCTGTCCTCACCTAAAACAAAGGCTTGGGGTTTTAAGTTTCTTTCCTGCCTCCCTCCCTCCCCTCCCTCCCTCCTTCCTTCCTTCTTTCCTTCCTTCCTCTTCCTTCCCACTTTCCTTCCATTCATTCAAGATTTTATTCATTTATCTGTCAGAGAGCTAGCGAGAGAGCACAAGCAGGGGGAGTGGGAGAGGGAGAAGCAGGCTTCCCGCTGAGCAGGGAGCCCGATGCGGGACTCAATCATGACCTGAGACGAAGGCAGATGCTTAACCAACTGAGCCACCCAGGCGCTCCAGGGTTTTAATTTTCTAATTCCTATGAAGGGACTGGACTTCCCCAAAGACCTGTACCAATTAATCCTCCTATCACACCAATCATCAGAAGTTCATCAGACTGAGTTCAGACTTTCTGTATTTGTATTTGCATTTGTCTGCAGACCCTCACACAAGCCGGGAGCGGGAGGAAGAAGGCAGAACTGGTGCAGAAGTCAGGGGGTGCATGGTTCCCCGGGGGGCCCCGGGGCTGAGTGGGGTGCAGCGCTCACGCTTTGTCTCCCTGCAGATGGCTGGCACCGTGCTCGGGGTGGGGGCCGGCGTGTTCATCTTAGCCCTGCTCTGGGTGTTGGTGCTGCTGCTGTGTGCGCTGCTATCCAGAGCCTCCGGGCTAGCCAGGTAAGGCCTCCTCTCCAGCTGGCCGTCCAAGGTAAAAGCAGTTAGAAGTGAAACCGCTGATGCTCATTAAACATTTAGAATCCAGAAGATCATTTTTGTAATTACTGGCAGTTTGAATGAGTTGCATTTTAACCTGGTATCATAAGCACTGACTGTGTTATTTATGCTCTGACGCAGAGGAGAAAGCAAGTGGTATTTTCCAGCTCTCACTGTGGAGGTGACGGGGGGGGGGGTGGCGGGAGGGGGGACAGAAGCAACAAAAAGGAAATGCGTGTTCGCTGCCTGTTGAATTTCTTGGGCGTGTATGTGTGTGTTTCAGAATTGTTCAGACTTAGGGCACATGCTTGGTCCAGTCCCTGAGGCTCTAACCTGGGCCTGGGGACACTGCAGACGCGCCGATGGCCGCAGAGTTGCGCTCTGGCCAGACAGTGTCGGGATGAAGCGGCGAGCTACGTGATTTACCAGAGTCTTCCAGCTAAAGACAGACAAAGAAGTTAAGAAGAGGGAAGGGCCGATTAGATTTTTCATGATTACAAATGCACAGAGACAAAATAAAAAGTACCCATTCCCATTCTTAGGAATTTGGAATTACCAGGAATCAACAGGAATGCATCCAGTTGGGGACCTGTCTAGGAAGAAGGGCTCTGGGCTGAAGGGGAGAGCATTTCTAAATTCCCTGGATAGTGTGGGCAGCAGGGCTCTGGGCCCTGTTAAGAGACTGGAACTTAGAATATTGGCTCCAGGGGAGAGCCTCTCCAGGCCTAACTGATGAGAGAGGAATCCGTAAACCGTGCTCATAACATTCTGTCTTTTGACCCCAGGTTCTCTGTCGTTTTTGTGTTCCTCGGTGCTCTGATCATCACATCAGTTCTGCTGCTCTTCCCTCGAGCCAGTGAAGTCCCAGCCCCAGAGGTTGAAATGAAGGTAAAACTATTGGCTTTATTTTGCCTCCTGCGTCATAACTCTTGTCTCCCTTGGTCTGAGCTGTTCTCCCAATGTCAGGTTGGCCGAAATACGTTAGAAGCGTAAAGTTAACACGAGGGTGGGGAAAGCTCAGAGGGAGCTTTACATTCCCTTGTCCTTTCACCTAGGACAAGAATCTCATTCTGATTCCCACATGCAACACCACGGGGCAGTTAGTTGCCTGATTTGAGGGCATCCCCCCTGGGCACCGAGCTGCACAAGCAGTGTGTCCAAAAGCCACCTGACACTGTGGGGCTGGAGAAGAGGAAATGAGTTCGGAATAGGAACGGGGCCTGGCCCTGAAATGCAAGTGTCCCCATCCCGGTAGTCTGGGTGCAGAAACTCAGATCCCAGCCAAAGCGTATGCAGTGCCTTGGGCGTGCTGAACGACATGCTTGTCCATCTCCGTGTGTTTGGTTCCTCCATGTGTGCGGTGAAGAGAGTACTTTCCATAGAGAAGATAGGTGGAGAAAGAGCATTTCTATGGGAAGCAGAGGTTGTTGAGACAGCTGAATGCAGCAATGACAGCCGTCCGAACTGACTGAGCCACCCAGGCACCTGTCTAGCATTTTTTAAGGGATTACTGTGTGTGAGGTTGTTTGCTAAGCACCTTGTTTGCCTTATCTCACTTAAACCTAAGACAACCCTAAACGGTATAAAGTAGGTGCTATTATTATCCCCAAGGACACTGAGGCTGTAAGAGGTTAAGTAAATTGCCCAGGGTCATACATTTATGGGAAGAGTCAGAGCAAGGATTCCAGCTGAGGTCTGTCTGCAAACCTTCATTGCTGGGGACTCGTCAGAATATTGGGGGCCATCACAGAGAGTTCATGGGTGAGCCTCGACACTAGACCACAGTACACAAAATTATACAACTTCCGAACTAAAACTCGCACACGTTTCTAACTCTGTCTAGGACTAATCACGGCAAAAGGGAGGAAATTCGTTCTGAAAAGTCCACAGGACATAATGCCACACACATGTAAGGAATCATTTCCATACGTGTCAGGCAGTTTTGTCAGCATTTGAAAACCACTCTGTCGGTGCAAGTACCAAGTGTGGGGGCCAGGAATAGACTCCCACCTCCGTTTCCCCGTCGGAGAGGGAGCGAGTGGTGAAGGGCCGTATTTCTGGATGGCTATGGATGTGAATATTGGGAGAAGGGCACAGAGCAAACACTGTTTTGAATTCAATCCCTCTATCCTCTGTCCTATGAGTTGCAGACCCAGGAGAGAAGAAGGAGGTTTGAGCAAAATATGTCTGTCAGCGTGGCCCGCAGAACCGGTGTTCTCATTTTCAGGTTTTGAGAACTGGCCCCTGCAGCAGCCTGGCTTGAGACTGTATCAATAATACATGACCTGGGCCTTCTGCACCAAAGGCCTGCTAATCGGCTAATTAAAAAGTGAAACGTGTCAAACGAGCAAACATGTAGCCCGCGAGAGACTTGTTCGGTACCAGAGCCAAGGTCAAAGTTATGTTAAAGCTGTTTTATCAAACTGACCTTTGTTGTAAGTTGGCTGTTGGGGTAATCTCTGGAGCAGCCGTTTTCTTCTTGGTATCTTTGGACCTCAGTGATCAGAGCAGTGTGAGGACTTGGCAGGTCCTCTGTGTCATGCCACAGTATTAGCCTCCTGTTGCTGCTGTAACAAATCACCACCGGCTTCGTGCCTTACAACACAGATGGATTTTCTTTCAGTTCTGTGAGTTAGAAGTCCAAATGCAGGCTCCCTGGGCTAGAGTCAGGGGTTGGCAGGGCTGCATTCCTTCCTGGAGGTTCTGGAGAAGAATTTGTTTCTTTGTCTGCCCAGCTTCTAGAGGCCGCCCTTGGCTAGCGGCCCCAATGCTCCATCTTCAGAGCCAGCGAGGTAACATCTCGATGACTCTACTTGCATTCTGTCCATCTCTTCCTTGACCTTCTCTTCCGCCTCCCTCTTCCAGGTTTAAGGACCCTTGTGATTACACTGGGCCCACCTGGATTGGATAATCCAGGCTAATCTCCCTATTTTAAAGGTCAGGCAATTAGCAATCTCAATTCCATTTACAACCCTCTTTCTCCTTTGCCATGTAATCTAACATATTCACCATTTCTGGAGGTTAGGGTGTGGACATTTGGGATAGACATATTCTGTCTACCACAATTGCCTCTCAGGTATTTTGGGTTCCCTTTCCTTTGGGAAGTTCTGAAGTCACCCTGCCACTTGGTTCATGTTCCTGCTCCATTAGGTCCATCAGATTAATTTACTTTTTCCTGCCCTGATTTAAGCACCGCCATTTGGATCTGGGGAGAGTAGAGCTCTGGAAGCGGACAGTAGCCAGGTGGGTAGAGCCAACTCTAAGTGTAGGTTTTGTCAGCAAAGACCAACAGCTTTGGGGCTCCAAGTATGACTGGTTGCCAGGCAGCCAGCTGGATGATTTGGGGCACGTTGTCTATCCTTTCAACATTTTAGTGTCTCAGGCAAATGGCCATTTAGCCCAAGCCTTGGAGTGCTGGATTATGAATGTTAGGGTTCAGGACTCTTCTGATGGAAGTTTTAAAGAATCACCTTTCCATTCCGAAAAGGAACCCTCCTGAATCAGCAATGGGTTGATGATTTGGGGGCTTGATCTTGGATATATGGGGGTTATTATACTATTATCTTTCTATATGTGTTTAAAATTCTCCATAATAAAAAAGTTAACAACAAAAATGAGCTTTTCTAAGACCAAGCAAACAAGCTTCTCATGAACTCTTTCAGATAACTGATGTCAGAACATAAAAGAGCTCATCCAAGGTCTTCACAGTGTTTGTGAACCTCCTCCTAAATTGAGCCGTTTTCCCCCTGTACTTCATTAATTTTTTCTTTATCTTGTATTTCCGGCGCAGGAAGTCAAGAAAAGGTTCTTTCCTAGCCATTTACAGAAGAGACTCAGAGCAGGATATTACTGGAAGTCACAAATACAAACAGACTCTGGGCCCACTCATTAAAGATTTCAGATGAGCACAAGCTGAAGTGATCGTAATTTCATTTTTGATGTTTCTCTCTACAGATTGTGGATTCCTTTTTCATTGGCCGCTATGTCCTACTGGCTTTCCTCACTGCTGTCTTCCTTGGAAGCCTCTTTTTGGTTCTCATTCATCATATCCTAGAGCCAATCTATGCCAAACCACTGCGGTCCTACTGAGCACTGTTCAGGAAAACCAAGACCCTGTTCTGTCCTTCACTTTTTATGTCACTGGTGAGCAGAAAGGTACTATTCAGAGCCTTGTTTTCACAGCCTTTATGCCTTAAGATCAGAGAAATATCCATTCACAACTAGGACAAATCCCTTGAATCTTGGCTTCCGGAAATGGGATTGCAAAAATGGCCCTGCGGACATGATTCTCACCATCTTCAGAGGGATGTTGCGGTCTTCTTTGCACTTGTTCCTCAGGTTTTCTATCTGTTTTGAAAGGGAAATAGTAACAGTGATCGGCTTCCGGTAGATTTTCAATCAAGACATCAGTAAGTGGATTTTGGGAAAAGGAGCAATTTGGCTTCTGCGGTCCAGGAGATGGAAGAATCTCATCCTTTCGATAATACACAAGATTCTTAGTTGCAAGGGTGGGATCATTAGGAAAGGAAAGGCACTCCAAGTTCAAAAGTTTATTTAAATGTGATGAGTTGGAAGACTTACCCAGGTGTTGGTTGTTGACCAGTGTGTATGTGGTGCCACAGAATCTATACAAGCAATCAGTGTCCCTTCCCTCTGCTCTAATAAAGCAATAAACAACCCAAGGACTCACTTTCACTTCAGACTCTTGGCCACAGCTTTCCCAGTCTATATTCTATATTTCAAATTTGTTTGAAATTGGAAGGGTATGGGAGTGTTGGTTTTTGTCTTGCTGCTATAGATCTCTGGCTTCTTTCTCTTTCAGAATTTGGTAGCCTTCGTGTGCCTTATTTAATTATTGTAGAGTCCATTTTGGGTTATGATCATTTCTTTTTAGCTTTGTAGCCCTTTCTCCAAAGCTGATGAGGAATATACATTCCCAGGATTAGATACAACTTTATACCTGTCTGAGATCCCACATCAACCGAAATTTATTATTATATGGAGGGTCTCTGGGCTGGTTCCACTTTGGAAGTCTCCTCCTGACTCCCTAGAACTAAATGAAGAAGGATCTTCTGGCTTAAAATTAAGAACAAGGAAACAAGTTGGAAAGAGGCCTTTGGGCATGTGCTATGGGCCAGCAGTAGAATAGTTCCCTTGTAATTCAATGTCTTTAAATTTTACAACAATATATTTATTATCATCCGGTTTTAAAGTAGAAAAAAGTAAGGCTCAAAGAGATGAACTGACTTGCCTAGGCGTCACATAACAGCCAGCGTGCACACCCAGGGGTAGCAGGCTCCGGGGTCTGTCTCAGACCAGAAAGAAAACCCACTGAGTTTTGTGGAGCTTTGATTGAGAGCTTGAGGAAGTCAGGGCCATGTCTCCTTCACTTCCTCTCCCAGATCCTGTTGTCAGGGTAGAGATGATACCCCAGTGGGGGCTAAGCTCTAAATTAAAAGAGGAGAGAACGGGTGACTCGGGGGGGAGTCATGGACTGGTGAGGGCCAGGTGTATTTATTTCTGCACTTGAACTGTCTCTGTCTTACCGGGTTTGGAAAACCTTTGCAGATAAGGCTTTGTCACAGAACAATTCAAAGGAAATGGTCTCTTCATCTGGCCTCGAGCCCACAGGTGAGAAAAGAAAGAAGAAACATCCCTCCAAGCAGATTGGAGGGGAGAAAGAAGAATGCAGACACGCAGAGGGAAGTGGGGCAAGGCGGCAGTCAGGCTATGTGCTCCTCTCTGGGGACACTTGCTCTGAAGCTTCCAGATAGCTGTGAATCTCTGTGCAGAGACGTTGAGCCAGCCCGAGTGGAGCCTGGACCCCTAATCAGCATAGGCTGCCATGTGTCACCTCCTGAGAGACTTGCTGACAAAGCAAATCTGGGAGAAGTTGTAGGTTCTGACCTTGAATCCATCTTTTTTATTCCCCAACAAAGGTGTCCAACTATGAGATCAATGGATAATAGCTATGAAGTTTTGGGTGACTACTTACGTGGAGAAATATATGTTAAGGTTGGAAACTAGCACACCATGGGTTTCTAACATATGCGCGCATGTGTGTGTGTTTTCCACAGATACAAATGGCAGGTTGGTGTGGTAAGGGCAAAAAATATACTTTGTACAAAGTGTATTTTACCAGCTGTGGGGAAATGACTGATAGATTACTCTCTGCCTTCATACTCAAAGCAGTCATGGCCAACCCAATAAAACCCCCCACAGGAGTGGGGTAAGAAGTAGAAGGCTAAAACATGACTCTCACTGAGAGCTCTACATGGGGCCCGCCTACAGTGACTGAATTGGCACCCCTTGGGCTCACTGCCTTCCTGGAGAGAGGGCTTAGAGGTCATCTGAGTGTCCCATTCATCATTCTTTGGTCAATGTCCTTCAAGCAGGGGGTGCTTCATTGTACCTTACCCAGGGGGGATCCTGTAGCAGAGAGACTGTGGTGATCCCCACCGTTTACAAGGTGGAGAGGGAGAGTAAATCAGGAGTTCTACATGAAAAACAGGTGATTTCAGAGCCTCTTAAAATTGTATCCTGACGAAAGCTAAATTAGCAGGACACCACTACCCCACGACGCAGACATTGGTCCAGTTCGCTAGGTGGCACTGCGTGTTCTATTTCAGACAGACAGTCCCTCAAGCCTGCAAAACACACTTAACTAGGTAATTTTTTGACAAGTTCCTTGAATTTCTCATTTATAAAAATGGAAGTAAAGCTGACATTCTTTACTGATACGCAGTATCAGCTATTTAATCTAAAAATTCATCAAAATTATTGTACCAACGTTCAGGTCCTAGGAAATGCCTAACCATTCGTTCGTGCTTTGTACTGCATGTGCAGCCGTTCATGTCACTCTAACAGACGGCAATCCATTTCTCGTTCTGCTCTCTAAGACATCAACTCTTCTATCAACTCTATCCCACTGCTGCTGCAGTTGCAGCATTTTTATTTTACTTTGTTTTTTTTTTCAAAGTGTAAAGAAACCTGCTGCAATTATTTTATGGAAGAGAAACAGGCAGAGAGAGAGCGGAAGGGATTTTAGAAGTTTCCCCGCGTTAATAGTGGGGCTCAAACCTGACATCAGGATTCCTGACCTCTCACTCCTCAGATAATTTAAAGATCATTTTTGGCTCGCAAACAACTCCTTATTTCTATATTGGTTAATACTATTTTGTAGCTATTGGTCCCCATCCTTTCCCTAACCCATGTCTTTAAAAAGGTAAAACTTTCATTACCGAATTTTTGATTGGCATCTAGAGTACAAATAACCAATATTTTATCATAACTTCTTGGCTTAAACCTTCAAGTATTTGGCTGTTGTTACATAGGAACAAGTTTCCAGATGTGGGAATCATCCTCACAGGAACTCAGGGTTGGAAGGGATTTTGTAGTTCATAGGGTCCAATCTTTAATCTCTATTTCCACCCCAATATTTGGAACTATTCTATTCCTCACAGGCTGAAATCACAGTTTTTATATTTACCAAACATGTTCTAAGCATTTTTCTAAATGCTTTGTAAATATTAAGTAATCCTCATAAGCAACCCTATGAAGTGGGTGCTCTGAGTATCCCCACTTCATGGATGGGGGAGGGGTACAGAGTGGCGAGGTGATTTGCTTGAAGTCACTTAGCTCAGGGTTAAATAGGAGTCAGTGTTTGAAGTCAGGTGGTTTGGCTCCAGTCTAAGCTTTTATGTACTTTATATTATATTGTTGCTCCATAAAATAAAAAGAAAGAAAAACGAGGGACCAAGGTCAAGCAACACAAATCCAGTTGATAGAAATACCAAAAAGCAGCAGCTGAGTCTAGTGGAAAACCCAGAATCGGGATTGGGCAAGAGTCTGAGACAAAGCAGTTAAAAGCCACATGGGACCTCAGAGACAACTGCACTTATCCACCCTGTGCTTTTGGTGGGTCTTGGCCTGTTGGACTTTGGCTCCTCGCTGGCTGAGAGTGTGGAGGAGCCCGTAGGCTGAGTTTTGAAGGACATACCCAGCTGTCTCTCTCTTAAGCGCCGTCCACCTGGAATGTTTGATACTTGGGTTCGTTTTTCAGAGGTGCCAATGGAAGAACCAAAGTCACAGACCAAGAATGTATTTGTTTCTTGGTCTCTGTTTCTAACAAATCATTATTGGTGGTCGCTGTTTACTCAAAAAAAAAAAGTTTCCAGTGCCCAGCCCCACCCCAACACAAACCCTCACATCTCAGTTTCTGGGACCTAAGAAAGGACAGTAGGGATCAAAATCAGGGACCAACGCCACAAACAGAATGAGAAAGTTTCTTTTTCTGGTTTTCATCACACCATGTTGGGTACTGTAAAGGATGTGCCAGGCAGTGTCCTCAGAGAACTTGGGGTAGTCATAGAGGCAGCGTTAACCCCAAACCTAAATGCTACATAGCCATTCCCTCCATGTTTTCTTTTAATCTTTGGGGATTTCTTTGGTTTTTCTGTCTTCATATTGATGTTGCCTCAGGTTGACACTGGGGAACAGGTTATGACTTCCTATTGCTGTAGTAACAAAGTACCACCAACTCAGTGGTTTAGAATAATAGGGATTTCTTATCTTACAGTTTTGGAGGTGAAAAATCTGCAGTAGGTTTCACGAGGCTCATATACAGGTTTTGGAGGCTCTAGGGGAGAATCGCATTTCCTTTCTTTTTCTAGTTTCCAGGGACTGTCCACAATCCTGGGCCAGTGTACCCTTCTGTCTTCAGAGCCCCACCTTCTAATCTGACCACTGACACTCTTGCTGCCCTCTTTGATTTATAAGGGGCCTTGTGGACACACTGGGCTCACACTGACCGTCCAGGATAGTCTCCCCATCTCATGGTCCTTCATCACATCTGCAGGTAGCATATTCACGGGTCCTGGGAATTCGAATGTGGGCATCTTTGGGGGGAGGGAGTGTTACTCTGCCCCCCATAGAATCTACGGCCCCACCCTCCGGGTCTAAGGCTTGCTTCCTTCCACCCTCCAGTTTCTGTCCTCTCCCACCTCCTGGCTTTCTATAGGAGGCCTGCCCCTCTATCTCCAGGAGCACTCTCCGGTGCCCATGCTGTGCTGGGCCTCCTTCCCCTCAACTTCAGTCTCGCTGAAAGCCTCAGAGTGCCAAGAGTTCCCTATCTTTTCATTACTTCTTTCCTCCCTGCGCCCCTTCTACCCACCCCCCGCCAACCGCACACCACCCCAGCCTCCCAATGGCTTTCTAAAGGAGAAATGCAAAGAGTTATTGCTTTTTAATTACAAGTGCTATTGTAACATCTATAAGGAAGAACACTTAAAGCTTAATTGAGACCAAATGTGAAGTTAAATTAAATGAATAACTAATTAACGTAATGCTCCTGCATTAGCCCCAAGTGAGTGCTGAGGCCCAGAGAGAAGGCAGGTAGCAGGCTTCCGGGGAACAGTCGGTGCCCAGAGCCGAGGTCGGGCAGGGAACCTGGGGCCTGGGAGGCCTTGCGGCGGGGCACATCTCGGGGCCGGGGTTCCTCCGCCTTTGCCATCTCCCCCGCACTCCCGCCCACAGCCCCCCTCCTCGTTGCCGAGACCAGGCGCCGAGCTCCGCACGCCTTCTGCGCACCCAGGGCCCACTGACCCCCGCGCCGGGCGCGAGCGGCACGGCCCGCCGCTCCTCCGGGCCCCACGCTGCCCTTGGAGGGGCTCGCTCAGCCTTCCTTTCAACGTCCTCCCGCTCGCAGGCGCCCTCCTACCTTATCAAACTAGCCGCCTGCCCGAGTCCCATTCGTCCTTCCTCCCCCCGCGGCCCTGGGACCGCCCTCCTGGCCGCCCCTCGCCCTTCAGGCGGGACCGGCGCACGGGGAAGCCTCTCGGCTCCAGTCACCATCTCCAGTGTTGCCCCGAACTGTTCCGAAGGGTGTCCGTCTGCCCATCTTCCGCCTTTCCCAGACAAGCGCCGCAGGCGCGGGCAGCGTGCTGGACCCTGACGCGTGTCCCTTCGCGCCCGTCCTCCGGGCTCGCGTCAGGACCGGCTTCTAGGCGAGCACCAGGCTCCGCGGTCGCCAGGGGGGAGGCGACGGAGTCTCCCAGGCTTCCCACCCTGGCCCGAAACGGAAAGTCGGTGAACAACGGAGCGCCCTCTGCTCGCGTGTCCCCGCCGGGACGCGGGAGGAGTGCGCGGGCCCACGCCGGGCTCGGCCGGGGGGTGATGGCGCCACCTAGTGGCTTCCCTCCGCCAGGCGCGCCGACGCCTCTGCTCTGAAAGAAGCCTCGGAGAAAGCGGTCTGTGAGGCCATGCCCTGTAGCACCGGCCCGGGGCGGGGGGCTGAGGACCTAGAGGTCCCGGACCGTCTCCTGCTTTCAGAGCCCCAGGGAGTGAGCGTCAGGCAGTTGGAGGCGTCCCAGTTTGTCACAGGGCAGTGTGCACTGTGTCAGTGTTGCCCTGGCCAACGCCACAGCTGTACCGCCCGCGGGGTCGCGAGCATTGCTCAGGGACCCCGACACCCCGACAACCCGGGCGGCCCGCCAAGCCCCGACGAGGACGAGCGCGGGCGCGGCGGGCCGAAGGCATCTGTACTGCGCCGACGGGCGGCGTCGGAGGTCCGCGAGCAAAGCCAAGAGCTGGCCCGGCGTGCCGCAGTGCGGGCGCCGGGGGGCCGGGAGCGGGACGGCAGGAACACGCGCGCGAGGGGGCGGGGGGCCGCAGAGAGCTCGGGCCACTGCCCGGGTCACACGGGCCTGAACGAACCAGCAGCCCGCCTTCGTGCTAGTCTCATCACCCTGGGCCCTGTGCTTCTTCCGGGCCCGCCGTCCACTCCGTTCCCAGAGCAGGGCTCGCGTGCGGGGAGCCCTCGGTCGTCACCGGCACCAGTGGCTTCAGTCAGGCCTGCCCCACTCCCGGCACTGTCCGGACATGTGCTCCTTCCCTGGGGACACGGAGGACTGGGACGACGAGACTGGGGCCAGGGAGGCCCTCACGCTCCGGGGAGGCCCAGCCCCAGGTCCAAGAGCCATACCTCCCTAACTACCCGCCCCTCGGCACCTCCCTTGCCTCTCCCCGGTCCTGGCCCCGGAGGATTCAGCAACAACACTTTAATTGGCTCGGGTCAGGAGTCAGAAAGAGGATCCAATGCAGGGTAGAAGGGGTTCCAACATGGGGAAATACACGAGAGAACTGGCTCGTGGACAAAGGAAGGAAGCGAGGATGGGCGGCTCTGAAACAGGGTCAGAAATCCATGGACAGGGACAGGCCGATCACTGAGGTTCACTTTCCACATGGGAAGGAGAGACACACCTTTGCCGGGCCTTGGCACATGTCAGGCCCCTGCCTTCTGTCTTGGATTCTGAACAAGCAAGAGTCTGAGCATATCCTTCCCTTACCAAGCTGGAGACACCACTCAGCTCTGATCCCCAACCCTTCTGCTTGCGCTTCCAGAGCTCAGGGCCATGAGTCCTGCATCCCTCATGCTGGCAGGCCCCTTCCCGCGAGAACCTCCCAGCCCCTCTGCGGCCCTGTCAGCCCGTCTGTGGCCGGTTCCATTGTCTTGCCCCCAGTGAGGGGGCAGGAGGGAGCACTTTGGGCATCAGCTGGGGCCCTCCGTGCTTCTCTTCGAATCAGGACTTCATATCTCTTTATACCTGCAGGAGGGGAGAGAGGCAAGCGAAGAGAAAGTCAGACACAGACAGGTTCATAAGCTCCTGCCCCAGTGGAGGAATAGGCAAGGCAGGTTCGTAGGGTCCCTTACTAATTGCCTCTCATCCCTGGTCTTTGTCATTAGGGCTCCCTTCTTCCCCATCAGCAGCAAATAGCAAGCCAGGATGATAATGAAAACCTTGCAATGTTGGTGCCCCATCTGACTGTCTGACCAAGTGGGATCACAGATCCCATCCCGTCCTTAGCCTCAGATCACCTTGTCGGGTGCTTAGGGATGAGCACCCCCATGTTATACACATAAGCATGTGGGGGCTCAGAGGATATGCCCACGGTCTTATTAATGAAAGCGAGCCAAGAAGTCAGGATCGGCCGGGGATTTCGGGTTCTAGGCCCAGTGCTCCCCCTGCGCTAGCAAATTCCTCCGCTCCCCACACACCGGCCTTCCTCAGAGGCGGCCCAGCTCAGGGTGGCAGGATTCCAGAGAAAAGCAAGCCCCCACACACCTGGGTTCAAATTTAGGCTCTGCTGGAGGACTTAGGCACATTCCCTGAGTTCTGAGCCTCTGTTCTGTCATCTCTAGATGACAGAACTGACCTCTCATGGTTGCTGAGAGGTAAGAGGCAGCGTCTGAAGGCAGACTCAATTCCAGGCACGGAGCAGATGCTGACTAAATATCCCCCCCCCCACCACCACTTCCTGCTGCTTTTCTCCCCCTCCCAGCGTCCCCTCAGGCCGGGCCCAGGAAGGCAGGTGGGCAGCACCAGTCCCCCTGCTCCCTCCTCCAGGGCAGGCATGATAGACGCTGCTCATGCCTCCTGCTCTCAGTGTTGCTGCCCCTGAACCTGGAAGACGCCATCCTTCAGGGGAAGAGCTTCCCCGGATGTTGTGCTGGTCACCATGACCCCAGGGGCTCTTTCCACACATTCGCCATCCAGGACCAGGTCCACGGCTCCGGCCAGCTCCTCATTAGCCAGAACCTCCTGCTCAGAAGGAGAGCCAGAACGGCCAGAGAGAACATTCCCCTCAGCACCAGCACACAGCCCAGCCTCTTGCTGGCTCTGCCTCGGCCATGACCCTATATCTGTGCAGCTCCCATACCCACCACCGCTGGGCAACAGACAGAGAACACACCAGGCCAGCCACCGAGGCTTGATTTGAGTTTTATCCCAGAGGCTTTGATTGGTTGTTGCTTTTTTCTGTACACCCCAGGCAGAAGGGCCAGATGATCTTGGCTTCTGAACTTTAGGAGGCACGTAGGGCTCAGAGTCTGAGTTCAGAGGGAAAACGATTTCCCTGGATCCTGCCTCCATCCTAGGGGTACAGCCAAAGCCCTACCGCTCCCCCTAAGGAGAAGAGTCTGCCAAGCTCTGTGGCAGCTCAGGCTCCTTAGGAAACACTTCCCAAGCACCATGCTCTGCTCAGGTGGAGAGTCTTCGGAGCTGGCCCCCAAGGAACAAGAGGAAGTTGGAAAAAATCACACTGGAGGTGAGAGGATTTGCATGCAGGCCCCACTCTAAGGGCACATTAGCCACCAACTTGAAGAAAATACTCACAAAGTCATGGGACTTGAGGAAAATACTACCGCGGGTGGGTTAGGGCCAGACTAGAGCTATGGAGACACACGGGGACAACAGAGGACACATTAGTGGGGCTGGGGGTAGGGGTGCAGGGAGCACCTCCAGGGTCCGGCCCCAGTCCGGGCTGCAGGTGGGCTCAGACTGGGTGTGGAGAAGTGAGCACTGGTTTTCACTCCATAAGAGGTGAGGTTGGGGAGATGAGGCCACAGCTGTCTGGAGGACTGGACTCACCCTCTGTCTCTGCTCAGGGATGACTTCCAGGCTAGGAGCTCTTTGTACACCAACCGGCAGAGGAGCTGTGTCCGAGGCACAGAGGGAGGGGAGGGCGACATTAGCCTTGACCACATGGTTAGTCCCCAGTGCTAGGTGACTGGGGGTGGGGGGGCTGGCAGGAAGGAAGGTCGTGGGCACACAGTTTCATGTGGCAGGGGGTGACCCATGGGAGGAAAGGGATTCTGAGTGTCGGGCAGCTGATCTCATTGTCCCAGATACCCTCATGGCCAATGCTTTGGACCTCCAAGTTTCCAGCCTGGCAGGACAGGACATTCACCCCCACCAATACCCATCTGTGTACCCCCAAGAACTCATACCAAGCAGGCCAGAATGTCGGCAGAGATGAGCATGTAGAAGACATTGTTCCAGCCTGTGGGGGAAATCAGCCCGGCTAGCAGAGGCCCCAGAGCAGCACCTGCGCAGAACACAACGTCAGAGAAGGGCACCCGACAAGGGGCCCTAAGCTCCCTGCCCACCCGAGGGCGGCATTCCGAGAAGTGTGCTCAAGACAAGGCTCAGGGCTCAGCTGCCAGGGGCCAGAAGCTAGAGTCACAGACCTATGGACCCAGTGCCGTCGATGATGGCCGTGACAGTGGAGAGTGCCTTTGAGTTGCCCTTCAGGCTCTTGTGAGTTCCCTGGGGAGAGAGAACGGGGTGGAGAGGCCAACTGCAGAGGTAGCACCAGGACTGGGAGTGGGACTAACTCGGGGCAAGGCAGCAACTGGGCCTTGGAGTTGAGAGGAAAGGGAGGGGGGCGATGGCGGATTCTGAAGGACTTTGAGGATCTCCTATACCAGGATCTCTGTGCACCAGGGAGGGGGTAGGAATGTGGGGTATTGGACCTGGAGACCCCAGGCCCTGACCAAGCCCCCAGAGTCATGCCCAGCCCCAGGGAGGCAGCCCGCTTACCAGGTCAGCAGAGACCGCAGTGGTGATGAGCGCGTAAGGGCCGTTGACCAGGGCCCCACAGACGATCAGCATTACTGAGGCAGTGACAGAGACAGCTGGTTAGGGATGAGGGGGCCACCTCCAGCCCCAGCCCCAAAGCAGGTGAGAGCCCCAGCCCCAAAGCAGGTGAGAGCCCCAGGCGTGAGGCTGAGAGACTCCACTTCCCTGTGCCTCCCACCAACGCCCCCAAGCCAGCTTCCTGGGGCCCCCAAGGCAACGCTCTTCCTGTATGCTGGCCGGACCTGCGGCCACCCCCTCACCTACGGAGTTGGTAATCCCGTTCTGGCCAATGTAGTTATACAGGAACATCTGAGAGAGGAAAACAGAGAGGCAGAGTCACACCCAGGCCTCCCCATGGGCTGCCTGGGTTAGACTGGAGCCCAGAAGTCTGGCACACCCTCTCCTGCCAAGGAACCCCAGAGGCCACCTTACTCCTTTTCCTTCTCAAACCCAGACCTCTTGGTCTTTAATATTCCCCGGGATGGGATGGAGGGTCTAAGATGTGGGAAGCTATTGTTTCCTATTTCTCAAAAAGGCTTCTGTCCTATCTAACCTTAATTTTTTATTCTTTCCTGGGCCAGAAAGTTTAGCAGCTGGCCTCCCCCTTCTCCACCAAGACCAAATCCTTGCTAACCCCTTTCCAAAATTCTCGGTCTGAATCTCTTTCCTGTGCCGCCCCAGGCTTCTCCTCCCCCAGCGTGCCCACGGATGTACACGCACACAGAGAGACAGGCGTGTGCATAAACGCCCAGGTGCGCACACATTTCAGCAGGTACGTGCGAGCATGCGCCCTTCGCTCCTGAGGTTATACGCACCATGGGGGCGGCCAAGATCAGCATGACGCAGCAGGTGGTGGCCCTGCCGTTGGTGTAGTCCGAGATGAGCCCTGCCATGATGCCGCCTGGAACACAACCCAGCTGCTCCAGGTGTGACCATGGCCTCCCGCTAGCGCGGCACCCCAAACTTTGCCCCCCACCCCACTCACCCAGGCATGGGCATCCGGAACCAGCAGAGCTTCTCCCTGTGAAGCCCTCCCCGCACCCACTGCTTTATGGGAGGATCAAACAGGACGGTCAACTTTCTTAGTTGGGCAGGAGCCCTTTTTTCTCTGATGCCACCTACCCAGGTCACGTCACATTGGACTCGTCCCTTCCTTCTGCACCCCCACAAGAGAAAGGGGGAATACTGCCCAGGGCAGAATACGGCAGGGCCTCACCCATGATGCCACCAACATCGAAGAGGGTAGACAGGTCCCCGGCCTGTTTGGCACTAAAGTGAGCTGTGGAAAACACAAACATGTGGTCAGACCTGAGGGCTCGGAGCAAACGTCGTGGAGTGCCACGGCCAGAAAAAGCCCTGCGGAGCACCTGACCCAGTCCCACTGCCTCCAGTGTCAGAGGAAGGAGTGCGGACCCATGGGAAGTCATTGGCCAGGGTCACAAGTAAATTTGCAGCAGTCTGAGGCAGGACACCCTTTCTGCCCCTCCACCCCATCCTTCTCCCCTTGCAGGTTGGCTCTGACCTCTCAGAAAAGGCTTCCCCTGAAAGCACTGGGGTCTGGCCCAGGAGAACCCTGTCCCACTGGGCCACTTTGGCCCCGGGGGCACCACTGCCCTTGCTGAGCTGCAGCTCAGCCAGCCCCCTTCGTGCTCTGCTCCTGAGCTCCTGGCCCGCCTCCCCCAGGAGCCTCCACACCCGTGTGATGTCTCCGCTAATAAACAGAGCCAGGAAGGAGACTCACAGGCAAGTGGGGACCTCAGGATTGGATAAAGGAGGGTCCAGAAGCTGGACCTGTAGCCTAACCCTCAAGGTTGACTCACTGTGAAGTCGGCACCAAGGCCACAAAACAGAGTCCCAGTGTCCACAGAGCTGCTCTGGTGCACTCCCTCTATCTTTAGAGAGGCCCTGTGACGAGGCTGTTGGGCAAGTTATGGGCTGGGATTTGGCCTTGCCACCCTGGGGGGTGGAGGCCCTGGGCCCCGGCAGAGCTCTGAGGGCAGAGGCGGGGAGAGTGGGCCCAGAAGGAGGGTGCTGCCGCTGACCCAGGCACCAGGCATCAATCCCAGGAGGCTCCTGGCAGCCCCTGGGGAGATGAGAGCGGTGTTCACCACCAGGCTTCAGGCAGGGGGGTACCTCACCAGGCCCTCTTCCTGGGGGTGCGGGAGGCTTTCAAAGGCAAATCTGTCCCTGCACCATCCAGTCCCTCCCATCTACGATGAGCCAAGCAGGTGGGGGTGGGTGCTCCTACACTCAGGGCTGGAGAAGAAGTTAGGAAGGATGACAGAACACAACTTTGGGTTCCTAACCCCCAGCTCTGGTCCAAGGGAAGAAAGGTGGCTGGACTCGGGGTCTATGAGGTGGTGTACAAGGTCTACCTTCCGACTGAAACTAAATAAATAAATAAAGTCTCCCTTTGCCCTAGGAGAGGTTCCGCAGACATCCTGACTATGTTCTGGAGTCACGCGCATCACATGACAGATTTCCTCTCCCCATCAGAGAGGGCCTTGGCCTCCTCTGAGACCCCGTCCCCCCTCTTCTGCCCCTTGCTCTTACCCACATTGAAGATGTAGAGGGGCAGCCAGTAAAGGAAGGTGTAGCTGACCAGCTTGGCAAAGAGCAGGCACAAGGAGAACTCGACCACACCCTGGAGAGCACGACAGAGGGTGTGACGAGAGGCACACAAGACATGCTTGGCCAGGGCTAGCCCCGGGACTGGCTCGGCCGCCCCAGCACCACCACCACCTACCGCGCAAAGCCACCTCAAGTACATCTCCATCTCAGTCAAAGCAATGCTGCGTCAGGGCAAGCCTCCCATGCTACCCTCCCCAGGTTGGCAACTCACCCTAAGCACCTCGTATAAAGAAATTCTGGAAGCCACAGATCCCCCTGAGCATCCCCCCATCTCCTGACATCCATCAGGGACATCTAGAGAGCCTCTCGCTCCCCTCCATTCCTTCTCACCGGGATCCGGAGCGCCCCGAGGAAGCTGATGGCGGCAGGCTGAGCCCTTGGCTCCTTGGAGTGCCTGGCCGCACTCTCCGGACTGCTCTCCTTGTTAATGCAGGGACCGTTCCCACGGTCCGCAGGGCTGTCCTGGTTCTCGTCCAGCCCATCCTGGACAGAGAGGAGCCCTGGCTGTGGGCACAGCCAAGTACACCGCCCACCAGCTGGGGGATAACCCACGTGGGAGGTAGAGGCTCCTAAGCTGGGGGAGGTACGCGCCCCGCTCCGGGACCGAACGAACGTCCTGCCAGGCCCGATCAGGCAATCGGGGAGCCAACCCAACGGCCTGGCATTGAGCCTGTGGGGTAACTGTGGGCGCACGGGCCCCTCCCCCAACTCCCTAGTCCTCTCTGGGACCTGCCCCTGCGGATGGAGGAGCAGGGTAGGGGGCGGGCTGGGGGGGCTCACACTTGTGTGGTGCTGAGGAGTCGTGCAGTCCACATCTTCTGGGTCTGCAAAAAAGCCAAACTCCTAAGAAGGTTCTAGGCCCGGTGTCACTAACTGCCTTGCGGACCTTCATTCTCTGGCTCCCAAGTGGCCACACTAGCGGGCTGAGCTGTGTCCCAAGGCCCTCAGGGAACGTGGAAGAGGACAGCGGGGGAGGAGCGTCCTGTCACCCGCCCCATCCCCGGCTCACACTTCAGAACCAGCACTTGCTGAGCACACCACGGGCCAGGCAACCAGGGGCCAAGTGCACAGCTCCCCGGGCGCTTAACCCACCCTAGCAAGTAGAGGCTGTTCTTCTTTCACAGACGAGACAACTGAGGCCCAGAGGGGCTCTTTGTGCCAGGCCACCCACACCGGTAATCCTCTGCTAGAACCAGCTGCCTTCTCCCAGGCCCCGAGAGGAGAAGGGCAGGCTCAGTGCTGAGCCCTGTGGGGAGGGAGGGGGCCACTCACATTCGATGAGAAAGAGGAAGGTGAAGACACCCATGGCAGCAGTGAGGACGCCCGGGACCACAAACGACAGGCCCCACTGCTCGTTCACCCACACGCCAGCGATCAGGGAGCCCAGGATGTTGCCCACGGATGTGTGTGAGTTCCAGATGCCCATGATGAGCCCCCGCCTGGAGGGGAGGGAGGCAGGACAGGGAAGGAAAGGGGAGAAGAGTAAAAGAAAGTCAAAAGAGAAGCACAGGGTTCATCACAACCACCCTGGCCAAGTGCAAAAAGCTGGCTGCCTCCAGCCTGCAAAGCCCAAAGACAACCAGTCAGGGAGGTGAGGGAGGGCTTGCCTGGTGCCAAGCAAGTGACTGCAAGGCCTGGGGCCCTGTGCCCCCAGTCAGCAACTGGAGCCAGCTCACAGAGGCCTTCCAGATGGAGCTCTCCCCACCCCGGGGACATCCAGCCCCCACCCCTCTCCTCCCTCTTGTCCCATGGCTGCTACTCTACAGCACTTGCTGGTCCTCAACCATGGCCACCCTGCCTCCACGGGACATGGGTAGTGCCTGGAGATTTTTAACTGTCCCAGCTCCGGGTACCCTACCAGCATCTAGAGGGTAGATGCTGCTAAACATCCTGCCATGGGTAAGATTGCCCCACAGCAAAGAATGATCCGGCCCCAAATGTCCAGTAGGGCTGAGCTGGAGAAACCCTGCTCAAAAGCAACTTTTTTTTCTTTTTACCCAAAAGCCAGTCAAGTATAAAATAATAATAATAATAATAATAATACAGTTTTAGAGGCTTCATTTTTGCCTTCATGCAAAATGGAAATGCGTCGATTATGAGGAGAAAGTGTAACTAAGGTGGGCTGTTTTGTGGACTAAAACCTTATCCATGAGAAAATCAGTAATGCTTTTCAGTTACTAAAACATTTAACTAAACGTGAAAGTCGGCAAGACGGACACAAGTTTCTAACCTTTCACCCTGAAATCACACTAGGGGCCATGAGTGACCTCCTCACTCCCCACAGCAGCCCTCCTGGGGTACCTCCCGCTCCTCCTCCCTCCCCACACTCACTTTCCCTTCCCGAACCAGTTGCCAACGCAGGTCACCACGGAGGGCCAGCCTGTGGTCTGGACAAGTCCATTACAGATCTGTAGGGAGACTGGACGTAAATGGGACAGGCCTGGGCCATGCCGCAAACTCCCTCTGCCCCCTCCCGGGCTGTGGGGCCCTCCACAGCCCACACTACGAGTACCCCCTTCACACACACACACACACACACACACACACACACTGCCACAGGTGGATTTCTCCTCTGGCCCAAGACCCTTTCCTGCGGAGACCGAGGCTCTCGGGCAAACTTACCGAACAAACAAATGTGTGATCTGCATGATGGTGAGAAGTGGGAAGAAGGACCCCAAAGCTTAAGAGAGGAGCACTGGGCTGGGAAGGGGTTATTCACCGCCCAAATCTGTTATTCACCACCCAAATCTGCCATGACCAGGGGTAGCTGGGAAGGACTAGGGGCCTCCGCAATCCTTCCCATGACGGAGCAGCGATCTGAGTGCAAGACCTCTCGTACCTGGATGAGCACAAAGTACCAGAGCATGTGGATGTTCCAGAAATATCCTAGGCCAAAGAGCGAGGTGAAAAGGCCACTGAGCAGCATTCCAGCTGAAAGGTAGTAACGGAGGGGGAGCCGCTCCCCAAAAATCCCGCTGGAGAAGAGAGTTGGACCTGTGGTTAATCACCAGCTGCGCTCCTCAGCTCGGCCACCTGCTTCCTCCCCGACCACACCACTGAGCCAGCCCTGGCCCCGGGGACCACCGATGACCCCTGTGCTGTCTGCCACCTGCCGGGGGGGCCCTTGGGTCCCCACTCACTGGACCTCCCTGCCTTAGTTGCCACTGATGAACATGCTCCTTGAAATGTTCTCTCCTTGGCCTCCTCACCCCCTGCCCTTGGCTGACCGCTCCTTCTCACTGACTTTCCCTGGGGCGCGGTCCCTGGCATCAATTCTATGGCTTCAACCACCACCTACATGTTACGTAGCTCCAACCCGGCATCTTCCCCCCGCCGCCATCTCTCCCCCTGCGGGATCACACCCAGATGCCTTCTGGACATCTTAACTTGGATGCCCCCCAAACGCATGCAGCTCAGCACTCTGAGACTGAACTCTCCCTCCTTCTTCCCCACTCGGTCCCTTGGCGTGCCCCTCGGCTGAGTGAGTGTGGCACTGCCATCCTCTGTCCCTGAGCTACCACACTGGTGCGGAAGCAGCTGTTGATGAATCGGGCACCTCCGCTAGGCTGTGAGCCGCTGGAAGGAAGTCCCCTACCTTCTTCACCTTTGGTTCCTGGCAAAGACAGCAGGCTTGCTGCGTCAAAGCCATGTTTGCTGGGCTAATTTAGGCCCAGGAGAGAATGGGGCTTTTCCTAGCCATGTCTGTGTCCAGGGCCACCCATGAAGGATCCCAGTTCAGAAAAAAACCCATACTCCAGCCATACCACGGCCACTGCCATCTGCGAGAATAACCTCAGAGGGAGCATCCAGGGAAAGGCTTTCCAGGAAAAGAAGCTACTAAAAACGGGATCTGCCAGGTGAAGGAGTAGGCCGGGTGACCGTGGGAAGGAAAGGAGAATGGCCAGGGGCTGGTGGTGTGTGCCCACGTCTTGGCCTCCTATCCGCCTGGGGGAGCCATCAGCTCTGGACCCCCCCACTCTGGGACAGTCACAGGCTCGGCCTGTCCCTTACCTGATGAACATGCCGATGGCGTAGGCCACAAGGAAGGCGTTGTCCACGGCCCCCAGTAACTCCTTGTAGTTGTTCTTATCTGACAACAGATGGGAGAGACAGAGAGCTGGTGCTTGGCTGCCCCCGCAAGAAGCCCTTTCTGGCCCCGGACAGCCTCTTCCGGGGGCGGGAAGATGGCCAGTGGGGAAGAGCATCTTGCGCCGTTCCTACCAAATGGAGCCCAGTCACACCACGTCGTGTCGTTGAGGCTGTAGCTGTCGTTGATGGGCTTGACCAGCTCCGAGCAGTTCTGGTGCAGACGGCTCTGAAGAGGCAAGAGGGTGCACAGGTCAGGGGTCACCTCCCAGAGCCAGAGCCCACTCAGCCCAGAGACGAGCAGACAGTCTCCCTCCCCAGCCACACCAGCACCACCCCGCTCCTTCCTCTGGCATCTCCCCCTGCAGGAACAGGCTACGGGGCGAGTGGCCGCGTCAGACCCTTGGTGAAGGCCAAGGAGAGTCTGAGCAGAGCCCGTAGGGCCCAGGGTCCCTGCCCTCCTGTTCCACCCACAGCCAGCAACACTGCTGTCAGAAGGAGCACCCAGGGAAGGCTCTCTAGGAAGAACAACTACTAAAAGAACAACTACTGAAGTCGGCCATGTGAACACGTTGTCTCCGTGACTACGGTTAGGGATTAAGTTCCAGACCATTCTACTAGAGTTTATTTCTGGGGGGGGGCCCAGCCTCTCCTGCATTCTTCCTTACCGCCAGGCCAGCCTCACCTTGACGACACTGATGGGCTTCCTGGACATGTGATAACAGGTATAGATGAAGAAGGTCAGCAGCAGGATGAAGCCTCGGAACCTGCAGGGAGAGGCAGCTGTCTGGGTTAGCAGGAAGCGGGCCTCAGCTGGAAGCTCAGGCAAAGTATCCCACGGGGCCCTCTCTGGCAACCCCAGGGCCTCAGCACCACCGACGCTCCAGCTCAGGGTCCCCACCAGACACAAGTTCCTTGGGACAGAGGCCAAGGGGAGTGTGGGAACAGATGCCCAGAGGCCAGGGTGCAGAGAGCCCTCTCTCTCTGGTCCCCAACGCCTGAGGCCTTCCAGCAGAGCTGGCCCAGCACCAGCCCCCTAGACAACACAAATTATGCCCGCCCTCTGTCCCCCCGACCGCTCTTGTCACCTCCCGTCACCTCTACTGTCCTATGACCTCACGAAGGTCAGGACACCCCTGTGTGTGCCTGTGTATACTGCTGAGACAGGGTAGCAGCCAAGTAGAATTGTTTTTAAACTTCCAGAAATGGTGGGAGCAGGTGGGAGGCTGCCGTGGCGGACGGGTCTGTCTCTAGAGGGAGCGCACTGCTCCTCTTAAGCCTTGAACACACCCGGTATAGCAGCTGCTGCAGCCTAGCGGGGACCAGAGCCCAGACAGCGTTGGGAATGTAGCAACGGTGGAAAAGCCCGTACCAGAATCCACATCCTCATCCCCGGGCCCAGTCTGGTCCATCCCACTGGACAGAAGGATCATTCTTTCCATCTGTGGCTCACACATCACATGTGCCCTCTCCTTCCCCCGCTTCTCATCCCAAGGACCGGTCTGGGATGGAAAGAACAGTTCAGCGAGGCACCACGCAAGTGTCTACCCCACGCCCGGCCCCTGCCCTTCTCCGAGGATCTGGGGGATGGGGCTCGATGTCCTCCTGAGTCAGTGTTTGCTTCCCCAGCAGAGCATCAGCTGAGCTGAGTCAGCAGCCAGCAGCCAGGAAGTACATGGAAGACAGACCTCAGAATGGACCCACAACCCAGGAGAAAGGGGAAGGCATTAGGAAAGATCCAGAGCCTTGGGTTATTCGAGATCTCATAGAGAAGGATGGGGAAGGGTAGGAGGGGCCCTGAAGCCCTTTCTATCCCTCAGCTCCATGAACCTAAGGGACAGGCATGGGAGCTCACTCTGCCCTCTTTAGGGATCTGCCTCCAAACCCCAAACTCACTTCCCCCAAATGTGCCATGAAGGTTACCGCTTGTGAAATACAGGGGGATTTCAGAAGAGCCTGGATTTGGGTTGGGCTCCCCGGCCGCTTCTTCCTTCACCCTGGACTTGAGCCTCCTACCTGGGTTCTCTGACTCCCCTCTCTCCGCAACCAGCAGTCTAACCCTGTTCCCAGCCACCCTGCTCCTCCCACACGCACTCCCCACCTCGATTCCATTGCTGAGCCTGCAGTGGGATGGAGCAGAGACTCTGGCCTGCTGTGGCCTGCCCAGATGCTCCCTGGAGAGCAGATAAGGAGGATCAGCAGGGGCCCACACTAATATCCTGACCTGTGAGATTCCAGCCCTGCCCTCCTCCAGGGGCCCGGCCTGCCCTTTCCCCCAGCTCTGACCCCAACCTCCAGTAGAAAACCTGACACCCAAGAGAGCAGAAGAGTCATGATTCTGGGGGGAGTGGGGTGTAGGGGGGGCAGGAGGTCCTCAAACATGTCAGGCCTGGCATCAGTGCGCTCACGGACTTCCTCCCTGGACTCCAGGGAGGCTCAGGGAGGAGCTCAGAGTCCCATGGCTCGCTGGGCAGAGCATCCTCGGAGCCAGGCCTCCTGTTGGTCCGATCCACTTCCCATTCTGCAGTCCTCTTTCCATCCCATTCCACCTCGGCAGCTATTCTGAGAAGGCGGCCAAGGTGCCACCGTTCAAAGGGGCCTGGGGCCACTGATCAGGTGGAGGGCTGAGCTAAGCTGATCAAGGGCTGCCAGACTCAGAGTCTCTCGCAGGAAAGACAGCTGAGGGGCTCCTGGGCGTGTGGAACCACAGGTTTCACTTCCTTTCTCATGAGCCCTTTCTTCAGAATCAAGAGGCCCCAGGAAGGGAGTAGGGACCATCTACACAGCGGGCCCCGGGGGGCTGTGCGGGGAGGCATGGCTGCCGGGGTGCTGGGCCAGGCTGGGCTGGCAGGCCAGGGACGATGAGGCCCCCCGACGGCTCCAGGTGAGGTCGGCTGCCCCGTGACCCTCCAAATCTTTGTTAGCAGACAGTGGCACTTCTTAGAATCCTCCCCTCCCCCAGCCCAGTAACCAAGTTAGATAGAGGCGAACTAGCTATCTCTTAACTGCTAGCAGGCCGTCCAGACTCGGCACTGGGACTTCTTCGGAGGTAAGGACAAGGATCAGTGTGTCCCAAAGCAGCGACAGGTTAAAAACAAACAAAAACCCCTCAGGACCTACTACGGCCAGCACAACAACCCCAAACCACAAGAAACAGCACAGGAGCGGGGCTTCGGCCTGAGGAGGTGGAGAGCAGCCCCCGAGCCCCGGCAGCTACCCAGTCAGCCCCAGGGCCTGCTTCCTTGCTTTGTAGCCACACTGCGACCCTCCCCACCCCCGGTCAGGCCAGCGGGGACTTAAGCGCCCTCATCAGCCATCCCCTACGTCCCCGGGCCTCAGTCAGGGGCTGCTGGTAGATGCCTAGGCTGCTCAGGTAGCCAGGTGGCAGACTGGCTGTGGCTGCCCGTGAGCTGGGCGCTTGCCCTGAGGAAATGGGACTTGGTGGCCTGTCCTTGGACGTGCCTATTCTGGGACTCCGCAGATTGTAAAGGATGGAGGCTGGGAACAGTAAGAACCAGGCCAATGGCGAGAGTGCCACCACCCCAGCCCCTCCCAAACCCTCCACTGCCCCTGGGAGACACCCCGGTCGGGGAGCGGCCAGCCTGGAACGGACGCCACAGGGCTGAGCCTGGAGCCAGGCCTTCAGCATCAGGATGGGGCAGGGGCAGGCCACGTCTGGGAGGGCCCAAAGCCCTCCTGGGGCAGAAAGTCAGCCCAAGCAATCCTCTACTTGTTCCCCTTCCTCCAGCTGGGACTCAGGAGCTTGCTCAGAGAGATCAGCTTGACTCAGAGCTTGGTCCCAAGATCATTTCCAGCAAAGGGAGTGATTGGCCGGTAGGCACAAGAAGCCCAGGACTTTATAGGAGAAATGAGTAGAGAAGATCATGATCACTTTTAGGAAAGAGGAGAGCTTGGAGAAGGAAGCTCTGTAAGGGAACCCCGAGTGCTCAGACAGAATGGAAAGACATGGCTTTCAGCTACAGCGTGATGTTTTGTTTAGGCAATTGGAAACCTCTGGAAGAGTCTGAGAGTTGGAAGGGTTTGGAAGGGGTGGTCGACGCTATGCAAACAGCACAGATGGAAATGCGCTGAGGATGGCAGAGAGTCTCTCTGAGACTCCTCTCGAGAGCCTCGCGAGGCCTAGCCCCATGCCTCGCCCTCATGCACCCCTGCCCCTGAGCGTGAAGGATCCGGGGTACGAGGCATGAGCCGGAGGCCCAGAGGACAGCAGCTGCACTGCCCCCCGCCCCCAACACACACACCAACTCAGGGACAGTCACGTGGGGAATCGTGGCCTTCAGAGACTCTGCCCCTGGTGTCTGACCTCCATCCTGTTGTTACTTTGGGGTGGTTCCACTCTGACCTCAGCACTCAGTCGGTACAGTTTGAATGGAAGAAGTAAGGCCTTGGCCAACCACATCGATCATTCCAGACCCACCCCGGGCCCTAAGTCAGATACCCTCCGCAAAGCCAAAGGATGTCTGAGTCTGCTCTGCAAGAAGGGAAAGAGGAAACGGCAGGGAGGAAGAGGAAGCAGAAGGTGGCTGGGGCGAGGGCATCAATCATGAGGGCGGGGGAGGGGACGCCACAGGGTCATGTGCTCTGTGACCAGCTCTGACCCTGGGGGGTGGGGGCAGGGACAATAACGTGTCCCCCAGTTTCTCCTCCCGGATCTCCAGTCCTTCCCAGAGCAGCCCCTCACGGCCACAGCTCACGGTAAGGAGCCCTTTCTGTGGCCCTTACCAAGCACTTCTTCGCAGTTACCAGGAAAGCCAGACAACACAAAGCTACTCAGGCGGCATCGGGGGCCCCCGCAGAACAGGGAAAATAACGTCAGACTGAGACCAAAAGAGGCTGAGTCCTGCCACTGACCGTGGCCTTGGGCAAGTTGTTGAACTCTCTGAGCCTCAGTTTGATGTTCTTTTAAATAAAGAAAGAATAAATAAATAATCAGGTCCTGCACGCAAGAGTGTGAGAGGGTTGAGTGAGATGGAGTGGGTGAGGAAGCATCGGGCGAATGGCAGGGTCTGGGGCTGCATTTGAAGGTCTTCTGTGTCTGCTGAGGGTGGGCGCTCGGATCTGGCAGTGGGAGCCCTTGGAAACTCTGGAACGAGAGCCATTTGTTCTGGTGGCAGCCAGTCGGCAGCCTTGGCCTTTCCACCTCACAGGGGAAGATTAGGGCATGGGGAACAAACAGTGATGTGGGAGATCACAGCCCCCGCCTTTCTGCCTGCCCAAAGCCTTCCTCCCCCCGGATTCCTGCTCATCCAGCTGGTCCCTCCTCCCACAGGCTCCTCTCCTCCTTGTCCTGAGCGCCTCTCCCTCACGGGGCCCCAGGAAACGGCCCCAGCCCCGTAAGCACCGGCCACAGTCATCTCTGGCCAGGGGCCCATGTTCCCAGCTGCCCCCAGACGTGCCCTCGCAGACGCGAGGCCAGAAGGCAGGCACCGGCCTGGGCCCGGGCTTGGGGCACTCTCAGGCCATGAAGGAGCTCCCCACCCCATCCCGACACAGAGGAGGAGGGGCAGGACAAACACCTGCCTGGGCAGAAACCTCTGGGGCTCTGACTTTCGTTCGCACACTCCCGGCCGCCTGTCTCTCTCAGGCTGGTCTCCAGGGACCGCTCCTTCCACACCCTGGGCCCCTGCCAGCTGCAGCTACATGATGTCAGTCCCCAGCAGAGCGGAGCCACCGAGCTAAGGCAGCCTTTTCCTCCTCTCGAGGTTGGATCCATCCCTCCGACCATGGAAATGCACAAGCGCTTAGT